GGTATGGGGACGACCGCTTCACCCTCGTACCGGACGGGGTATTGAAGTTTAATGTCTTGACACTCATACCGGATGAGGTATAAGAGCGGCTCTGTAATTAAGATTGTTAAGGGAAATGATTCACGTGTAGGAGGGACACCCCTATGGATCCTCATGGATACTAGTAGGCTGGTGAAACGAGAAACGGTTATGATTTAGTTTATTATTAAATAATGTGAATTGTGATATGTTCTATGTTACTGATCGTGCATGAAGTTATGATCTGTATGATATTATTGCTTCTATAATTTGTTATCACAAATTCCCCAATGGTAAGTGAAGGGTAAACAGTTTTATTTTTAAATAAATGTTTTAGTTTAAATTTAGTGCTCCATTAGTTGTTTTGATTTTCTACCAACCTTTATTTCTGTGCCGGTGATATAATGTGATGTCCTTACTGGGGTAGTGTAATTCATCCTTTATTTAACCATTTTAGATCAGAAGGACCTGATTCCCGAGTCTGATCTGCAAGAAGATTGCGAGTAGATGCTAGATACTTTATATTTTCTTTTACTTTTCTCATTTCTCGTGTTTCTTTCAAAGAATTCATTCCGTGATATTTGTTTAGTACTTTTAAGTTATTTGTGTAAGGGATGTAAACATTAACCTTCTATTTCGCTTCCGCACTTAAATTATTATATATTTCCTTTTGGATTTCCGGGGTCGTTACAATATATAAAGTTTTTAAAAGCCAAACCGTGTTATAATTTATTATTAAGAGGATAACAAACATAGTGAATTAGTTTTGAGAGACTAACAAATAAACAATAGTATCAATTTAAAAAGTTGAGACAACTTGGTATATATAATGAAATAAGAGAAGATGAGAAATTCTAGTTGGATTAGGGATGGTATGATTAAGAATAAGGTGGTTATAGATCAAAAGATGTCACATTTATTAGAGATTTAAAAAAGAAAATATTTTTTTGCATCACTTAAAATCTTTCCCCTATCAGGGAAGAGGCAGTAGTAATGTGGGTGATGAGTTTTGCGTCAGATGGATTCTTGCTGCAACTTGAAAATTTTCTATTACAATAGATAACTGTTGTTTTTGTTTTCATTTTACCTTCACATCTCACTGTAGCTCACACTTTTTCAGCTCCAATGCTTAGTTTTGATTTTATAAACTTTTATTCATTATTTTCACTTTGTTCTTTACTCCAAGGTTTAAGAAGGAAAAATAACTTAAAGTAAACAAAAATCATAAAATTGAACTATTTGATACAATCTGTAAATCGCTAAGCAAAATAATTATCTCAAAATGGAGCTTTTTAATCTGACAAAAAAAAAGTGAAAAACTATGGAGTAATATATTTCTTTATTAACTATTCTAGCACAAAATCATTCACAAAACTAATCTCTTAATAGAACATGGATAAAATTTATTACTTTAAATGTAATATAGATGATTTTTTTTTAATTCTAAATTATGATTCATTAGTTTAGAAGTGATTATAGAAGAGTGAAAGTTTTATTATGAAAAAAAGTTGACTTTTGGGGCAATAGATTTTTCATAATAGAGCATCGACACATTCTAATTGAAACATTTTTCTTTCAAAAAGAATCATCTCAGCAATATGACCTTAAACCAATTTCATATAGATGCAATAGGCCACGAATAATAGACCAAATTTACAAGTTCTTTTGAAGGTTATTAGTCATAGAATTACAATCTTATGACATTTATGAACTAATTTTAGATTGGTAAATACTGATCTTATTAATCACTTGAATGATCGATATAAGTACAAATATATTTATTTATTTATTATGTAATGAGTTCATTTATTGCAGATTCAAACAGATACATTATGAAATCTATACCTGCTGCATATTTATTTCAAATTTATAATTTTTTATCCGTATTCATCTAGTACTTTATTAATTATGAGTTTTTACATGCCCCATATGGGTCAAGTTAGGGCAAATTAACATGTAACTTATACCTATGGCCATTTTTAATAAAGAGGAGATGATTTTTTTTTTTATTCATATTTGTGTATTTGAACTTAGTCACAAGCAACATAGGATTAGCATGAGAAAATCTTTGGCAAAATATACCTTGACCTTGGCTCTTTCGACAAGAGATTTTACTAATTTAGTGACATTGGAGTAAAAAATGGGTCTGTCTTTGTTCCGAACCATAATTAGAGTGAAATATTTTAACACCATTTGGTGACATATGGACTCATATACCTAATTTTATTGCCAATGATACAAATGATACAATGGCAATGTATTATTGGTGTTTTGGGATTTAAATAAAATGTTTTAGAGAGTTGAATTAAAAACTTTGAAGTTGAATATCTTTAGTTTTTTCAAGTGTTATTATTATTGTTTTTTATGATTTGAATTATTAAATTAGATTTATGACATTGGAAGATAATTAATTATTTACGATCAGGATAGTTGACCTAAAGTGTAAATTTATTTTGTGATTTGAATTAAATATTATAGCTTATGAGTAAATTGTGATTTAAATTTGAATTATTTAATGTTTAAGTTTGGAGGTGCATGAAGATATTCTCTATATTGAAAATGTACAATACTAATAAAGAGGCAACTTTAATGGGCCATTTGGTTCATTTTATATTTAATTTTAAACACATTTTTTGTGTGCTTTTATTTTAAAAGTAAATGTTAGGTCTTATATTTGCAATCTATAGAACTAAAGAATCACAAAAAGGTAGATATCCTACTCTAATTTAAAACTTTAATACAAAGTAATAATAGTATTTTAGTAATCTCCCTTTGCATTTGGTTTACTATTGACAAATTTAAATTATATATATATATATATATATATTCAAATTTATATATTATATAGTGTATTGTAGAATACATTAGAAATGATGATGGTAACTTGTAAACTTTTTTCTTGTTTGTGATTGGAGAATGCAATCATGATCCATCGATTGTAGTTATGAATTGTCGTTTTGGGAGAGTCGTCGCTCTTCATCCAAAAAAGGAAGAGCAACCCAAAAAAATATATCACTCCAAAGTAAAATTGAAAAAACTTACTACATCAATAATTGAGAATGATGCTTGCAATTTGGATTTCGTATTCACTAGGTGCTAAAATTATTTAAAATTTAATAATAATTATTTCTTCTCTTTGTTAATTATTTGATTTTTTTAATCTTAAATTTGTTATTTTACTTTTTAAAATTGATTTTGTCAACTTGGTTGTTAAATATGGTTATGTGCTTTACAAGTACTCTTAATAATTTTAAATTATAAAAATATCTAATTGATATTAGTATAAATATAAAGTGGGTATTATGAAATTAGCTTTGGAAAATGTTTATAAAGAAAGGAAAAAGGGTTTTTGGATTGGAGGAGAGTGAGAGTGAGAGTGCTTTTAGCAAATCAAACCCTCATGATGAATTATTATTATCATTAATTATTTATCCAATCTATAAGTACTTATTAAATTAGATTTCAACACTATTTGAATAATTCTTCAAGTGAGGAAAGAGACATAAAAATATAACTTTGGTTTTAGTGTTTTAAATGTTTAATTTTTTTCTTTTTCAAAATAATATATATATATATATATATTACATGAGTCACTCACATATCGTTTATATTTATACTATATAGATATCTAGTAAGCAAAAATTGTGTTACGGGGCATAAATTTTTTTCATGTTTGATCTCAGATAGATCAAATTTATTTTTTTTATATTAGAATATTATATTAAAAAAATCAATACTAAAAAAATTAGAATAAAACCCCATAAAACTAAGTGTATATAAATACCTTAAACAACTAAATTAAGAAGCTAAATAATCTAGTGATAAAAAAACTTATAGAAAAACTATACTAAAAAAAAAAAAAAGAAAAAAAAAACTTTTTTACCCATATGCACATAATATATATATATATATATGTAAATATGCATGTGAATATTCAATATATAGAAAAAGATAGAGAATTAAAAACAAAAAAGAATAAGAATAATATATATAGAGGTTGAGAGATTTAGCGACTCAGGCGATGCTAAGTCAAAAGAGACAACTCAGGCAAGAGCTGAGCTAAGGAATTGAGGAGAGTAACAAACTGGAGTTAAGGTTAAGGTGTTACTGGAGCTCAAGAGCGAGGGCCAATAAGTGAGAGGCCCTAGAGTTTGGAGTTAGGACTTGACTGCCTGAGGCACTAGAACTAGAGGTTGGAACTAAGGCCTAATTGGTTGAGGTGCTGTTGTAGCTAGAGAATGAGGGTCGATGAGTGAGAGGTGCTGGAGTTGGTGCTTAATTTTCAAAGGCGTTGGAGTTAAGACTTGAGCGTGAGTGAGTTGAAGACATAGTCATGTGGGAGATGTGATATTTGGGTTTGGAACAACAACGACAATCGGCTTAGGTTTAGATTTTCATTTTTAATTTAAAAAATTTAATAATTTTTGTAATTTTATAAGACAAAATAATTAATAAATGAGTATAAGAAAACATTGACTTTATTAAATTTGATTTGGTTTTTTTTTTTATTTTATAAAAATTTAATTAATCACTTATTAACACGACTCTACATAAATACTAAATCTTAAAATACCAAATTATTTAAATTATCTTTTAAGTTTACAATAATCAACATCAAATCAACACAAATTATTAATCTAATCTTTTGATAGTAATTGAATCACCCAAAATTAGAATCCCAACTCCATATTCAATAATGATTAGGTTGTAATGCTCATTGTTGTTTCTTTTAAAAGGAAACATAACATGTGAAATATAATATATACATTATAGGTATGAAGTGGTAGTTGGAGCATGATGGAGTTGAATTGAGATATATATATATATATATATAGTGGGTGATAATTGGGTAACAGATTTATCCACTTCAAATTTTGAGCCGAATGGTGGTTGTTTGTGGACCAAAGAAAACAACAGATGGCTGGCTGGCTGCATATTTTTCAAGAGTCAAACCCACTTCCTTCAACAATTGACACAGTGGCTTACAGTTGGACATTCACATTGTTTCATCATTTCCTTATTTTTTATTTCATTTTATTTTCCAATTTCCCAATCATCACAATCACACCTTTCTCTCTCTTTTTCTCTTTTTTTTTTTTTAAAAAAAAATAATAATTATAAATGTAATAAAAATATTATGTATAAATGAGGGGATTTTATAAAAAAATAAGAACAAATCTTAGAATTAATTTTGGCCAGCATAAAATAGCTGTTCTATCATGGCCCCACTTTTGGGCCTTTAAAACATGGGCTTCTTCTTTGTGGGCCTATAAAGATTAGTTGGATGGGCTTCATGTAGGTTCGTAGATAGTCTAGTGCTTCTTAAATTCCATTTAATTAAATAAAAAAATAATCTCAATATGGGTTGGTAATATTTCAAAATAATTTCTACTAAAAATAGTTTTAACATAAAAAAATAATATAATATTTACTAAAATTTACTGTAAAAAATAATTTCAATACAAACCATGGTGTTATAGTTAATTAATTATGTTATAAAATCAATAATGAATACTAAACTGATAAAATATTATACAACGATAAAAAAACTAATTACTAAAATTATGTAAATAATATTATTTTCCAGAAAAGTATTCTAATTATGTAAATTATCTTGAAATTTATTTATTTAATTTAATTATTAAATATAAAAATAAATACTAATTTGAAATTATTATTGATGAAATCCTCTCTCCTGCCATATAATCTCTTTGAATTGAGACCACTAGATTTTAGGTGGGCCTGGCAATTCCATCAACAACCAAAACTGAAGTTGCTTCCACTGGATCCCTACTCTCACATGGCCTGGAATTGGATCGTACGGTGACCCGATAAGCCACTCTCGTTCTCAGGCTTTCACGTTGAGGATAACATTACAGAGGGAGGTGACTGAGAGCTCGATACATCAAAGAAATACAGCCTGAAAATGGCTTCAGTATCTCTGGCAGCATCCACTGCATCAACGCCATGGCTAACAAACAGAGGCTTTACTAGTCGCATTCCTTCAGCTTCTCTCTCAATCCTCACTGGTTCTAGGAGGAGGAGCTCTTCATCTCTTAATGTGGCTGTAGGTGTAAACGCAACTCGTTTTGGGTTGCTTCACTGTTCCTTCGTTCCTTCTTCTTTGTCCCTCGCGTTTCCTTCTTCTTTTTCAGGTATTCTTGAGTTTCTGTTATTTTGTTCTTTTTATTCATGAGTATTTCGTGTTTTTGGAAACATAATGGTGGTGCTTGGAGTGATAAAAATGTAGGCTGTTTTTTGGTTTTATTCACAATTTTTGTAACAAATGAAGTTAGAGAGTCAGTTTTTCTTGCTAATATTGGTTGATTTTAGGTTTTCTAATTTGATGAATTGATTGAGTGATTGCTACGTGCTATATGATTCAATTTTGGGGTTTCCAGGGAAATAATTTTCGCTTAATTTCTTCTAGGTTCAAGTTTGGAATCTTTGAATTTCAGTGTAAGGTATGTTTATAAAAAATTAATTCTATTTGTACAACTTATTTGGAAATTCACACTGAGAAGGGAAATGTTTATACAACTTAATAAAAATTGAGCTTTTGTTCCAAGCGGAAACTTAGAGTGAAAGAAGAACCGAATTTTGAAGATGCTAGCATATATATAAGAATATAATAAATTACAAACTTAGGAATGGAGAAGAATGCTTCAAATATTATTTTGGGTTACACTAAAAGAATAATCCTTGCTTGCTATGGTTAAAGGCTATAGTTTTGATGGATATGGCAAGAGAAATGACTGGCTAAGTTCCAAGTGTGGTCTCTAATGGGGAAATATATAACAATTCTGCAAAATGAAAGAAGTGTCAACCTCAAAATAAATAAAACTTTTTCTTCTCTTCTTGCAGAGTTGTTGTACATTGTTGTAGGTTAGGTGCTGTTTTTTTTCTGAAAATTTCAAAATAAACCCTTCAGCTGATGCAGAATATGCTGTGATAGAATCTTGTGTTGTTGAAGAAGTGTTCTAATCCTGTATGACATCATTTTACTTCAATCATCTCTTACCGTTCTGCTTAGCTATGACAGGATGAGATTTTACTAGAGAAAAATGTTTTAGTTTCAGAGCTAGCTCAGTAATATCTTTTGATTTCTTTTCAGGTTTGTCCTTGGGGTTGGGTCTAAATTGTAACATAGGGGTTAAGGAGGCACGTCGAGGCCTAGTGGTGAGAGCTGGGAAGGCAGCTCTTTGTCAGACCAAGAGGAATAGATCTCGAAAGTCTTTGGCACGGACACATGGCTTCCGCAGGAGAATGAGAACCACTAGCGGCAGAGCTGTACTGAAGCGCCGACGTGCCAAGGGAAGATGGGTTCTTTGCCCCAAGTCCAATCCTAACAGTGGGAAACGTGCTTAAGGTTTTGTGTTTCTTCAGTTTGAATACATGATTAGTTGAATGTTATCACTGGATGATATATGTGAAATGCATTTGATATTTGTTTTCTTGTGTTTTGTGTTCATTGTTTCTGTTTTTATAACTTCACTAAGTAAAGGAACGAGAACAATCACCTTTTGGCTTACCACATACTTATTAGAGAGGAACATGTCCCAGATGCTAATGCTAGCTTTGTTGAATTTTCTGTGGTGCCATTCTCGAAGATTTATTGTTCTATTCTTTAATCTCTCGTCATTTTTTGGTACATTTTCATAATCTGTGATCTTGGCAGCTGGGACGAATGATTTTGTCGAGTTTCAATGTCCATCATTTGCCTTGTATTTGTAATTCTCTTCAGTGGTGATGCCATTTTCTTTTACATGCTCGAATGCATAGTCCATCCAACCACCAGAACATCCATCATTTTTTGACACACAATCTACTAGTTCTTGTTCAGACAACAATCCTAATTTACCTGTTTTGATTTGGGTAATACCTTCAATTGCTGCCACTGCTGAAAACGGCCAACAACATCCTGCAAGTAAATCAGTCAAAACATAGCTAAATAGTTCAATAGTTATATATCTATGATCACAAATGTATTTAACTACCACAAAAGTACCAGCCATTCATTATCCATAGTGGATGTGAGTTTGAGTTGTACATTATGCATCCTGTTTATTCTTGTTAGAAATTATGTTATCATTTATGTGTATATGCCATATGATTAATGAACTATAAGAAATTGTTGCTAAAAAATGATCACCACAAAGAAGTTGGTCCTTGACTTCACTGACCGCACCTTATTCAACCCAGTCAACACTAAGTGGAGCATCAGTTAGATTTTTATATCTGAATGAGTTTGTTCCTGTAGGTTGTATTGGTATTTTGAATCCTCCATGAAAAGTTAGATATTCTTTGTTGCTCATGTCTGCAAACTTATTAAAGCTTAACTAATAACTTGATTTTCTGCAGTTGTAAAATTTTCTATAAATTGCACATTGTCATTGAGTTTCTTCAAATGCATTTCCTTCTCTGCATCATCCTTATAAACACGTCCGTATCTAATAATCCATTCTTGGTGTTTATCGACAACAAAAGTGTCTTGAAGCGTGCGCGACATGGCTGGAAATTTCGTAATTCCTAGAATCATCTCCAAGGTGATGATGATGACTTTTGTTTCAAATCTTAAAGCCATTAACTAACACTTGGCTGGAGATTTTATAAAGGGTTTAAGCTTTGAGAAGGAGAGAGAGAAATGTAGGCATACGTACATACCTATGCATTTATATATCATTTATATAGACGATATTGATGAGGAATAGCTTTCGATTATTTCATTTCTTGCAGGGTTTGGAAAGAGACTTCATGAGTTATGATGGTTCCTGCTACATTGAAAAGAAATTTGCGTGAAAAAACAGTTGGCAATTTTCTTTGATCAATTTGCCGTACAAGTCAATTAAACAATTGGCATTTA